AACCAGACACTCGAATTCTGATCAAATACTCACGATTTTATAAGGAGATAATTTTCTATCAGATAAATATTAACTAATGCTGTTTCATGGTATCGCGTGATTAAAAGAATATAATTACCTTATTTGAGAGTTTTCAAAAATCAAGATACATTATTATCGAATAATGTAACTTACCTTTTCAAAAAATGTTTTAATGTCAAAACACTTGATTTAAATCATTCGTAGTCATTTATTGATCTACATAAAAAGAAATGTTCAATTATTTAAAACTGATCATTAAACAGTACAATTGATTAGTTAATAATTCATAAAAGATTTATTGAACCTCCATAAGAAAAATAAATTAAGTGAAGAATTGAGCTGACTAACAATGTAAGAAAATAATCTTCTACAATGATATGGGTTATTATATACCTGCCTATTCACTTATACATGATCATGCATAATTAAACATTTGTTGGACATATAACCACCGACTACGTACACCATTTAGTTATACATAGTGCAGGCATTTTAGAAATATTTATTACAGATTATAGACACTCCTTCATTTGGGATTGCCTTCAACTCCTTTTTATTCCTTTTTCTACATGTCATCCATGATTACTGTTTTGCTATATTAACATTTGAATGTCTGTTTCTTTAAAACGATTTCAATGCATGCCAGTTTCAATTTATAAAAAAGGAAATAAAGAATTTCCGTTCTACATAACCTATATTTTAATGAAGAAACGATACAAATATTTCAATTTATTGTTTTCCTATTTGTATATTTAATCATCATTAAATTTTCTAATGTCAAGGGGGGAGATTTCACTGAAATCTGGGGAACTGTTAATCATTTTAAAAGGAATTAATGAACACTATGTTCATATTATGCACATTCATTGAAAAACTTTAACCCCGCAATATTAAAGGTTATTTCAAAATATCTGAAGATTTTAATCGCTGTACTTGTAAGTGTATTTTAAAGAGGAAAAATTCAATTCACAGTTTCTAAAGTACCTTTTTCGTTGACTTAGTGTTTAAATCTTCTTTTGAATTTCGTGTTATAGTTAACAATTGTTGGATGGGGTATCTTGCAAGTATATGAGAATCAATTTAAGACATTTCAGACACGTCGGTGATCAGTATTTTATTACAGTCTATTTTGACAGTTCCAGTCAAACAGTCACCCGCTTCAGAGTAAGGAGTTGATCCCTACGTCGGGGGTTCGAATCCCACTGCGGGAAGTGGAGACTGCTTCTTCAGATGAACCGTATAAACCGAGATTCCATGTCACAGTAGATGAAGAAGATTCTTCACTACTCAAACATCGTACGTGCTGAGTACAGATCTAAGTTTACAACCCTCAAAAGGCAACTAGAGGAAACTCAATATGCGTGTTAAATTCTCGAAGGGACGTAAAACAATCAAGCAAACCACATTAATCCAACAGTCAATGGAACTGTTAAAATGCTAGTCTTTTTTCGTGTAGAATTGCACAGGGAATGTTATATAAGGGTATATTAGGGTGATTTAGTGCACTGGTGTTTACCTACCAAAACTTTGCGCATTTCAAGTCATCTTTTTATTGTTACATTTTAATTGATAGGAATTAGCCAGTCATCACTATTGTGGACTATATGGAGGATCTGGTCGGGGTTTTTTGACAATCGTTTTCTCACGGTTTTCTAAACTAAAGCGTGTACTGTCCTAAAAGAGCTCCAGGTGCCATGGTCATGGTTTATTGTGCCGGGGAGATTATTTATCGTGTGGTGTGAGTGGACTTTTTCCTATAATTTTCTGTTGGATCTCTTCCAGTGACAAACCATTTTTCTCTGCAAGGGTACAGACTTTTTTTTTTTTTTTTAAAAATGTATTCAAGATCCCACTGGAATTATAATGTCATATTTTGCAATAGCTTTCAATGACGTTTTTATCTTGTCATCAATTTGAAATATTTGGACTGTAATTTGCGGTTGGATATTAGATCTTCCAGGCAAAGTCAATTATCAGCATTCTTCATCAAATATCCAGAGTTTAAGAGTATTTTAACGATTTTGGTACAGTCATTATGTTCTCCTTTCGCAACAAGATGTAAGGTAGATTGACAAAGGTTATCCACGTTGATATCGCTTCCGTTTTTTATCAAGTACTCTGCAATTCTGATATTGCCAACCTCCATAACTGTCAGCAAGAGGTGTCTCTCTTATTCACGTCAGCACCTGAGAAATAAATGTAACAATTAAGACACTTATTTAACACATTGTATCATTAAAAGTGTTATTTTTTATCATATTGCTTTAAAAGCTACAAAGACCTACCTGATTTAATTGACTTTTTAACCATGTCCATATCGTTCATTTCAATTGCAATAATTAGAGCCGTTCTACTATCGTCATTCGTGTCATTCGTCAAGTTGACATCAGCGTAGAGTAGGAGAACCTCAAGGGTATCCATATCACAATTAACTATTGGGGTAAATGAAATACAAAATTAACAACAGTATTAATCTCGAAAGTCCAATGAAACTATACAAATTTGGAGCAGAGCAAACAAGGACTTCAAAATTTAGAGGTGGGATCAGGTGCCATGGAGGAGTGAGCATCCCCTGCCGACCGGTCACACCCGCAGGGTGATCCTTGTCATGATTGAAAAAAGCGGAAAAATCCGTAAACAGTTCAATGTATAAATAATGCCTAACAATTAGTATGAAAAACGTCAGTCAGCATTTGAAATAACATGTAAATAACAGGTAACAGGTAAATAACAGAGGTTCTCCAATTTCATCCAGAACGTTAACATTGGTTCTAGATTTTAGTGTCTTTTCAAGTGCATTGTTGTCACCCTTGAAGACGATTTCTACAAGAAAAGTAGAAGGTAAATCATTCATTGTGCTTCAATTCGTTCTAGGTAGTATGTACAATATTATTACTGGTATAGATCTTTTCAACCCTTTCTTATCAACATTAATATAATGATGAATATCTTTTTCAAAGTATTCCGTGAATCCTATTGGTTAACACAACAACGTGAACTAAAGATAGATATAATTTCATTAGCTACATATTTTATCCTTCAGTAGACCACAATTTGTTAAAAAATGACATTTTCCTTGACATGTCAAAGAAGATGAGTTTTTACATTATAAATTTGACAAGAGAAATGGTGCTACACAACCCTGTGAAATATAACCATGTACTTGATTTACAAACATTAAAAGAAATGAGTCATACATGAAGAAGAGTTTATTTTGATTTTTACTTTGTTTATTTCACATGTCTTTATAGACAATAGGCTAAAGAAGACTCAATAACATTACTGTTCTTTGTAAAAAGTCACTATTCATTTTCCCAATTTTTAGAATTTTTTTATTGAATGAGTAGTGAAACATGTTAATGTATTCAGTTTTCTCTACAATGATTAATTGTCGTTGTTTGTGTGATCTTTTTTATTAAACTTTGGAGGGAGACGGACAATTGAATTTCATTTGAAGGAATTTTTTTTTTTTACAAAAATTTACTGTAAATAATTTGAATCCTGTTTCTCTATATAAACATGTAATTAGACAACGAAGTTTTCGTTCATATAGGGTTATATTTCAGTGTCAATAGATTTCTGTGAAATGTAAGTGTTATAATTTAGTTTTTGCCAGTTTTACATGGAGAGACATTGATGATATAGTTTGATAAATTTTCTTTCAGAAACAAAGCGGATGATTTTACTGATTTAATAATTGATTGTATTTCTCAAAAAATATGGATATACGATGTGACTGGTATAATACATTGAGATTTTTTTTTAATTCAAGGCCGCAAATAGAATAAGTGGTAATGAAATTAAAATTCTTTTGTGTTCACAACTTTTGAAATGTTGTAAGAAAAAAATAACATAATGTATCAAGGAAAATAACTTTCTTGTGAGCGGTTTATGATAATCTTACTGCTGTAGAACGTGCAAAGATGGGATGGCACCTTAAATTTTAATCCTTTTCACATTTACTATACATACAAAGATTAAATTAATTCATAGTCACGAATTTTTATATAGAAGCCATGGATTTTATTTCGTGGGCACTATTTTTATTTCCTCCCCACTAGTTTAGTAGATTACTTTTTGTTTACGAAGTTTTCTTTACTGTCAATATCCACGATATCGTATCGATATCGAAACATGATTGTTCAATGGATTATAATTAACACCCTTAATATTGTGTTTTTTAACATGTGAAATACTTGAATACTATTAGTTTATGAAGTTTATGAAGTATATTTACTTTCTGAATATTAAGTTAGTACTACTGTCGATATTGTCCATATCGACGATACCGTACCGCTGTCGAATCAAGATTGTTCAAAACATAATTTTTTACCAGCCTTCATCTTAACCCAAAACCTTACCCTAACCTTAACCCCTGACAATAACAGCCCCTTACCCTCTGTTTGTCAGCTTTATTTATTTACGTATTCATGCCAATAATGATTCAATATCGACATCACTTGTGGTAATGTATCTTTATGTTATACCTCGACTTTAAAATTAATTGTACTGATAAGGATCGAAATCTATGCGATGTCGTCATCATATTTTCGATATCGACATAGCACTAAGACTAATATATGGAATCCAGTATATTAATTTTATAGTACTGTTCAGAATCAATATCGATACGTTATCGACATAATATTGTCGATTTCGTCAATATCGACGTCGAATTTGTTCTTGGACATGTATGTATATTTTGGATATGTATCTACCTGATAAATACATAATGCTCACGGCGGGTGTTACCGTTGGACAGGGGATGCTTACTCCTTCTAGATACCTGACCCAGCTGGGATTTCCAGGGGTCAATGTTTTTTTTTTGTCCTGTTCATGGTTCATGGTTCTTTAAACTTTTTTGTATGAAGTACATGTATATGATCAATATACATGTATATTAAAATATAGAATATAAAACCCTCACAAAAACTACCTGCATAAAAGATAAGACTTATCATGAGGTTTTATCGTGTATTTATTGTCAATCTATATTCATTTATTCTTTTGTGAACTAAAGGCAATCACTGCCTTCCTTAAGAACATTGCAATCCAAATAACCATGTCCCTATCTTAAACATAGCTAACACATCAAACACTTATGAACATTTCGTATGACTTAGATAGCTCTTGGTAACACAATACTGTTAACTATGTAGTGGTAATGAAGTAATGTCATGTTGAAATCAAACCATAGTTACCAAATCGCAATTTGTCACAAAACCATATCAGCAGCATATAGACGATATGCATCTTCCCTGACAAATTGGTATTTAAAAATTCCTTTCTCTCAAGTAGAACGTTACTGATGTACAAAGGAATCTTCGCACTCACATGGAACTATTTGTTTTCGTCTAGCATAGAGACTTATCTCTTCTGCAAAGGTACAGAGTGGTCAAAGAAAATGTATTTCTCAGGACTTTTTCAGACTATTGATTCGGTCCCTTGCCGTATTTTTTAATGATGTTTTCAATTTATTGACCAGTTTGAAATATTTAGATTCCATTTTCTGGTTAATTGAAAAGTCATCAGAACAGAGCCAATTGTCAACTTCCTTCACCACATACCCACAGTTAAACAAAATTTTAACGATTTTGGTACACTCATTGTGTTCTCCTGTTGCAATAAGGTGAAGGGCAGACTGGCCAAGGTTATCCACCACATTGACGTCACTTCCGCATTTTATCAGGTATTCTGCGATCTTAAACTTTCCATTCTGTAAAGCTAACAGAAGGGGCGTTTTTCCAGATATGTCTTTACAATCAACACGTGCACCTGTGAAAAAAGAAGCAAGAATTTAAAAATCTCGTTAAGGATTATTAGCTATGATTTAGAATGAATTTTTGACATATTGTTTGTAAGCATTATAGTAAACTAACCTGATTTGATTAATTTTTTCACCATGTCGATATCGCCCATTTCAACTGCGATCATCAAAGCTGTCCTGCAATCGTCGTTTGTCATGTTGACATCAGTGTGGGCTAGTAGAAGCTTGAGAGTATCCATATCACCATTAACGATTGGGATAAATAATAGAGGTTCTCCATTTTCATCCAGAACGTTAACATCACCTCCAAATTTTAGTAAATTTTGAAGTGCGAGGATATCACCATTGATAACGGAATCCATCAGAGAAAAGATTGAGTAAACAGCTTTCATTTTTTGTTCAATACGTATCAATGTAATCGTACAAAGTATACCGAAGATAGATATCTTTGTTCCTTTTATACTTATCAAATACCTGAATTTGCATATCAATGTCATTTCAGAGACATTTCATGAATCTGATTGGTTTATATTAAAATGTTACCTGAAGATTCGCTTTTTTGATTTGTTGCACATTTTATGTTTTGGTAGACCACATTTTTTTCTAGTAGATGTAAAACAGATTCCTTGACATGTCAATTATAAAACGTTAAGGATAATGATAATAAATTAATAATCACAGCAGTATTGTCTCGTGATTTTTTATTGTTATGATTTCACTTACGGAAATAGGAATAGATATGAAGCAGAGTGGTTTTCCTTATATCAAAGATAACATCTTATTATCTTGATTTCAGTAACATATGAACAGGATTCTAGACTTATGATTAATTTGTTTAAGAGCGCGGGGGGGGGGGGGTTAATTCTTTATTCTATTTCTTTGTATATGATGGTGAAAATGTCCTTATCAATACGTTTTAGAAATAGGGGATTTCTTCCCAAAGTCAATTTCTTTGTACATAATGTAGAAAAACTTCATGATTGATATCTTTCAAAAATGTGAGATAAACTCTGCAAGTCTATTTTGATGTACACGGTGCAATCCATTTCACTGTACAAAGTGTAGAAAAGGCTATATATTTCTGTGTAAGAAGGGAGCTTTTCATGGACTTTTTTTAAATTATTTTTGAATGCATTCTATATGAACACAGAGAGATTTTCTTGGTTTATCTTTATTAAATATACAGGTCTTTATACGAAATACGGTACATTTAAGTCGGAGGTGTATGGGCTTTTTTACATGAGTTCATATTTTGTTTTTCTCCTATAGCAATAGACGATAATTACTCATTCATTCAGAGATCTATAATATATTCTAAGAGGACAGATCATATTAAATCCTGATAAATCATTAATGTCACACCATATCTTTTAGGGCGGAATGGAGTATCTTTCTATCAACATAGCAAAAACAAGAATGTAGTGCTACAAGTTCTCATGATTTTGTCCTTGTGTCGTAATTGTTCCAGAGTTGAAATAAGTTCTATTAAAAGGTAAGAGGACAGTGAAAATGAAGTGTCCCTAACTGTAAACTAACATGATTTTATTTTATCTTGATTTTTTTTATTGGTATGATCCTTAGGATGGTATACATTACATCCATTTTTATCCAAACTGTTAAATGTTATTATCACTTCTTCATCTCAATAGGCGCATATCGGTATGAAGTATAATTCATGTAGTTTTAAGAAATTCTAATTTTGAATTCGATTTTCATAATATCATTTTTATTATTGTGGATTCTTTATTTCAGGGATAGTGGTAATTGTGGTAATTTCCTGAGTAAATAGCTGAGACATTTAACATTGCAAAATATTAGCCAATTATTGTCAATTCCTTAAATGTTTAAACTTAGTAAAAGCCTCTCTTAAATCAATCTTATTTAACTGTTTAGCTATTATGATCAGAATTTCCCGTTAGCTATTTTTCTATAATGTCTTTTCAAGAATTTCGTCTAGTTTTGTTTTCAAAAATCTTTTTAATCTTATCACAAACACTGCACATTATAAAAACTTATGTTAATAATACCACGATTCACGATTATTAGCTACATGTATTAAGAGGATTACATTTCATCTGATGAATATTAAACAATGCCGGTGCATGGTACCGCATGATTAATATTGAAATGTTAGATTTAACCTTATTTGACGATTTTCGAAAATCAAGATATATATCATAAATTAATTATAACATACCTTTTCAATAATAATCTAAATGTCAATTACATGGCCTTCTTCAATCTTTTTTAGTCATTTATTGATATACGTATCATTATAATCTCAATACTACCTAGTCTTTTTAAGCAGTTAGAATGATCAGATCATTATTTATGGAAGATTTAACTACGACATCTATTTAAAGAAAACATGAAATGTTTCACGTTTAAAAAATGGTTAACTAAAACTAATATGAAGAGAGAAGTTGCGCAAAATTGGGCTGACTTAAGCATAAATGTGAGCATATACATGTAGTCTTCCTCAATAATTGTTATTTTCTATGTGCATATTTAGCTATACATACATGCACATACATTGCAATATTTTTAAAGAAATAATCACCACTATGTATTCGACAATTTACATTTGTCAAAACGCGCATCTGGTGCATCAAAATTGGTACTGTATATGATAAACATTATGACCCCTGGGTCGAGGCCTCTGCTGGTGGACTGTTAGTCCCAGAGTTTCTCTACAGCCCAGTAGGTAGTACATCCGTACTAGCTTGAAAATACGGATATATATTTAATTGCTGTGGTAAAATTTAGAAATTCCTCTCAAAAGTTATGAGTATCTCTCTCATTAAAAGCTCTGATCCTTCGACGTATCTGGCCTCAGTCTTTGGCAAGCTCTTCAAAGTCTCTTTAGTTAGATATTTCGGATTTCCAACCTTTCGGCATGAGCATCACTGAAGAGACCTAATTTGTCGAAATGCGCATCTGGTGCATCAAAATTGGTACCGTATATGATTTATCTGCATATGATTTATTTTCTTAATTTTTTCCATTTCTTAGAAATAAATTCAAAGTCTATCGATTTTGTGCAGACATTTCTTATTTCTATTGAAACTGGTCCTCGTTAGACTGAATTTATTGACAAACAAGTTGATGAAACAAGAATATCAGCTGTCTCGTTTAAAGTCATCATTTCGTAAATTTTATGGTCGAAAAAATGACTCTGTCAGCAAATACAATTTATCATTGAGTTTTTCATACTAATTGTTAGGCCATTATTTACACACTGAATTGTTATTGTTAGTTACACACTGGATTTTTCCGTTATTTGCCGATCATGACAAGGAGCACACGGCGGGTGTGACCGGTTGGCAGGGGAAGCTCACTTCTCAATGGCACCTAATCCCACCTCTGATGTTTAGAGGTCCGTGTTTGCTCTGCACCTATTTTGTATTGTTTAATGGACTTTTGAGCTTGAATACTGTTCGTTATCTCCATATATTTCACTTATTGGTTTTACACGCTTTGCATATATCTTTGTTTCACTGCAATATAGATATCCAGTTTGTTTGTTTTTTTTCATTTTTTTAATAACGAAAGGGCAAGTATATTTCCCATATGGTGAAAACTAATTGCTTTTTCTTTAAACAGAATTCATGAAATATTATGAATATTGATTGAAAAATTCTGAATTTTTTTTCCTTTGTATATATATTTTATTTTTTAAAAAGCATAGAATAAACTGACATTTTCTACAAAGTGCTGTATTCATTGGCATGTATATATTCTTAACCCAGTTCCAAAATTCCGCTTAATATTCTAATCTCAAGACAGCTTGTATATACTGGTGCCGATCTAAAACAGCGTTGTTGCTTTTGAATTGTCTTTTTATTGAATTTAACAACATATCATAAGGATGCAGATCTGAGTGATAGAAATTGCTGTCATATTAGTGTGTTAGTACTCTTGTAGGAATTAAGCGACGAATTGACCAAACACATTTTTTTCAATTATATTTCTTTAGCATTTAATGAACAGATGATTACATGTAATGCTAGTAAGGGACAATGTGTTGTTAACCGTTTATAGTCATTCATCATTTGTTCATCAATGCCAGTATTGACTGCATGGATCTTCCACTATTGCCAGCTTATATCCTTTTATAAACAGTGTTTAAAAGAACATAACAATCCTAAAATTGATGTATGTATCGCAAGCGCATTCTATGCTTTATCCAAATCTAATTTAATCTCTGTTATTTTCTGACGAGTCTTCTGTTTCCATGAATTTGACGTGCCATTAATTCAGTATCAACTATAAGTAATAAATTTCCATGCTGTTGTTAAATTATTTTTTATAACCTGTTTCCGAAAAGAAAACATACTAATTTTTTTATAAGTTAAAACCTTTTTTCTGTCAAGTGTTTTATTCTTTAACAATAATAGAGTCGTATCGAATGATCATTGTATATATTATGCTGGGATAAAAATATTTTGTAAAATTTATCGAAGTTTATGCACAAATACATTGCATTACTATTCAACTTTCTCAAAATAATTTAAAAAAGAAATTAATAAATAACAATGATAATCTGATGCTGCAAATACGACTGTTTTATCCTGGTGTAATATTGAGCAGTAGTACAAACAGTTTGATTCTCAAATGATATGTTTACAATTTGATTTGCATAAGAAATGCTATCTTCGTTGTAGAGTAGAATTTTGAGTGGGAAACCCTTGCCTAGCAAAGATGACAAAAAAAAATGAAATTTGTGTTGTCGTACTCCTACTCATTTGATATGTAATAGGCACAAAAATGCACTATAAATAATCTACTTCTAATTTGTTAAAACATGCAATGTATAAAACATTATTCATTGCATAATTAATTTTATTCTCTCGAATTTTCTTATTCAAAAATATAATGCATTCCATTACGTATGTTGCAATACTGTAAATCTTCAGCATCATCAGTCATCCATGAGGTACTCAGAGTTCAATTTAAGATTAATAATCTTCCCCAATCGCAAATGTTACGATTGATTGCAGCTTGACAATTTTTGGTTGATTGTATATGGTAAAGGCATGGATTTCTTTCGTGTTTTCACTTTTTTTTTCAATCGTCATAGAGCCTGTAAAATTAGCTGCAAAGCAAAATTAAAGAAAAACAAAAATACATAGGGTTGTGATTATTTTACTTTTATTCATACTAAATCCCCTTAAATACAAGTTTTTCTCTCAGTTGATCATAAACCTTTCAATGTCTTTTTTAGGTCAAATATTGATATGACATCTGTGTTAAAACATGAATCTTTACATAATACATGTATTTAATGTTTTAATACATAAACCCCGCATGGTTCAAAGAAAGTACAGAATCTGCGTTAGATGACTCTTTGGTAACCATCTTTACAACTTGAACCTGTCAGCAGAATATTTGTGCAGTCTCAAATTCCTTCTACTCATAACTCATACAATTTCCTCCTGCTTTCCACTGGCATTTCTTCCTGGAAGGAGAACCTTTTTCATCTGTTGAGGTACAGATTGTTCATGGAAAATGTATTCAAGATTTCACTGGAATTATAACGTCACATTCCGAGATAGCCTTTAATGACTTTTTCACTTTGTGCATCAATTTGAAATATTTGGATTGCAATTTTGGATTAGATATTAGGTCTTCAGGACAAAGCCAATTATCTGTATCTTTCATCACATATCCACAGTTTAACAGAATTTTGACAATTTTGGTACAATCATTATGTTCTCCTGTTGCAATGAGGTGCAGGGCAGACTGACCAAGATTGTCCATCACATTGACGTCACTTCCATGCTTGATCAGGTATTCTGCAATTTTGAAATTACCATCCTCCAGAGCTTTCAATAAAGGAGTTTTTCCAGAGATGTCTTTCCTGTTTACATCTGCACCTGATGATAAAAAATAGAAATTAAGAAAAATATTCAACCAAGTGTATCATTGTAATCTTATCTTTTAAAGAAATCTGCAAATTTTGATATTTTTTCTATTTGAAGGTTTAAACACCTACCTGATTTGATTAATTTTTTTCACCATGTTGATTTCGCCCATTTCAACTGCGATCATCAAAGCTGTCCTGCAGTCGTCGTTCATCATGTTAACATCAGTGTAGGCTAGTAGAAGCTTAAGAGTATCCATATCACCATTAACAATTGGAGTAAATAACAGAGGTTCTCCATTTTCATCCAGAACGTTAACATCAACTCCAGATTTCAGTAACATTTGAAGTACATTGATGTCGCCGTCGAAAACTGTTTCCACAAGAAACATGATAGAATGGGAATCATTCATTTTGTGTCAATTCGTTTTAAGTAATATTAATGAAATACAGTACTGATAAAGATTTTTTCAGCCCTTTTATACAATCGTATCATCTTCATTTACATAACAAAGCCTTTGTACAAGGTATTCGTTGAATCCTATTGGTCGACACATTGCCGTGAACTAAAGAGAGATATAATTTCATTTGCTACAGAATTAATACTTTGGTAGACCACAAATTGTTAAAAATTAATTTTCATTTTCCTTGACTTGTCAAAGAAGATGAGTTTTTTACCTTATAAATTTGACAGGAAAATGGTCTGCATAACCCAGTGAAATGGATACGCCACTTACAAACATTAACAGAATTGAGTCATACTTGAAGACGAGTTTATTTTTATTTTTATTTATTTTTCGTTTGTTTATTGTAGATATTTCAAAAACAATAGGCTATCGGAAGAAATAATAAAAAAAAAAAATTATCTTTATGAAAAACCAACATATCTTTTCTCAATTTTGTAGATTTTTTTCTGCTATGCTATGATTAGTTTTGGATGTGAATTTGATTTGCCAAATCAAAATTTGGGTGGGGGATGGACAATTAAATAACTTTGATAGATAGAAATAGTTATTTCACAATCCACTACAAATGATTTGAATCCTATTTTCTTAAAATAAAAAGATAAAAACAAATAGACAACAAATCTTTCATATTTCTTAATATCTTTTGCCGGAGAAAGTTCAATTACACGTTTAGTTTAAAATCATTCATTGCCAACAACCAATCTATTCAATATACTGTACATGATCATGTCTTTATTTTATGTCCAAAAATTATAGTCTTGTTCTTCTGTGCAATTTGTTTTTGATTCTATTAAAGTTTGAAGTCAACAGAATGGTTTACAAAGTAAACTGAAATTAGTTATTTGAAAAATAGTACATTTAAAAGGGGCTCTCAACATCACGCTTTTGCCAGGAAGTTGGGAACAAATGTACAATGTTAAGATATCTATCCTTAAATTTTTGAAATGATATCTGAATATGCACTCTCTGTATAGTTGCATTTTTCTTCCTGGATTACATTTGCATTTCCTCGTGTTCAAAATATTTCGCCGAGAAAATTCATACATAGTTTCAATATATCCCATTGAACTTGAAATAAAAGACACCACGTCATAGGGTGTGACACATCTATTTCATATCTCGATATTTTAAACGAAAACACATTGATGGCAAACTGTAAGCGGAGCCTAATTCATACGAGAAATATATAATTTGATATTACACAAAAATAACTAATAAGAAAATGTCTCAAAATGAAATAATGTGCGAATGTAACCGAATATGCCACCACTTGCCAGTGGAGAGCTGCAAATTAAGATCTATACTCAGCACTTACGACCTTTTAGCAGTAAGGGATTTTTTTCGTAACAGCATCTACTGAGACAAGGGACGTTAGTTTATACGGGCTCATCAAGGACCGGTTTCAACTCCCGAAGAGGGATTCGAACACGCGACGTAACGATTAACTCTTTACTCCGCGACAGAAGAGCAAACGCTCTACCACTGCACTACGCGGGCGACCATTACTGAAGTATATTTGCGTAAATCACTTGACTGACCACTTCACATGCCAAGACTTAATAAATCTTATTGTCTTCAATATGTAGTTTTAGCCATATTACATTTGTAAATACTGACAAATAATGTATTTTTCACTCATCACAAAAGAAATCGGCGATGTATCTATTGCGCACATTAACTTTGTTTTCCGTTTATCAATTCGTGACGAGGGGCATATAGTGGATGTGACCCGTCGACAATGGATGGTTACTCCTACATGGCCACTGCTACCGCCTATGATGTTTCTAGACGCCATAATTTGCTCTGCGTACTATTTGTATTATTGATTGGACTTCTGATTGAGTATATTTACAGTTCGTTACAAGGCCGTAGGAACCGGGGGCACGGGGGAGGAGGCGTGCCTCCAACAATTTTGCCAATATATAGAATATTATAGAAAACATAGTTACTATATGCTTGCGCCCCCTCAATAAAAACTGATGACCTTTTTATTTGCTTGTTAAGGAATTTTTGATTCCCCATCCCATAAAACTGAAAATTTTCGGTTGTGCCCCCCCCCCCCGAAAAAAACTGAAATTACTTCCTACAGGCCTGTGTTATTCTCACATTTCATGTTACACTTTCCATACACTTAAAATAATACGTTGTAAATGTTTCCCATTAACAGTTAAAAATGTATTTGCATGAAATGTATATTAGAAAGACATGTGAAGGTAATTGAACCTTTTTGAATGTAATGTTCAAAACACAACCAATTTTCAACCTCTTTCATCACGTTCCGACATTTAAAAAAGTATACTCATTGTATTCTCCTGCTGCAACAAGGTGAAGGGAAGACTGGCCAGGGTTATCCACTGCACTGACGTCACTTCCGTATTTTATCAGGTATTCTGCGATTTTAAACATTCCATCTTCTAGAACTAACAACAGAGCGGTTTTTCCAGAACTGTCTTTAAAATCCACACGTGCATCTGTTAAAAGTGGAAGAAAATTTAATACATTGTTATTATTATTTATGAACTATGATTGAAAATGAATACATAACTTATTGTTTGCAACCATTAAAGTAAACATACCTGGTTTTATTTTCACCCTGTGTATATCATTTATTTCAACAGCAATCAACAGAGCTGTCTACAGTCGTCATTCGGACAGAAGCTTAAAAGTATTTGTATCCATATTAACGAGTAAGGTAAGTAACATAGGTTCTCCATTTGCATCCAGAACAATAAAATCAATTAACTACGTTTTGGGGTACAATGATATCACCATTAATAATAGACTCCATCAGATCAAATTTTGACATTTTGTCAACCCGTAGCAAGTGTTTTTGAGAGAAATTTGATTGGTTCATATTAAAATTCAACCTGAATATCTGTTATTTCGATTTGCTGTACATTTTATGATTTAGTCGACCGAAATTTCCAAATAATATTAAAGAGACGCGGCAATCATAAAAACGTTAAAGATAGAGTTAAACTAATAAATTAATGATTACACCAGAATTGCCTCATTCTATTTTTATTGTAATAATTTTACCTACGTGAATATCATTAGTTATGAAGCAGAGTGGATTTCCTCGTATAAAGGGCCATATCGTATTATCTTGATTTCGTTTAAGCAATATGAGCTGCATTTTTGAAAATTCAATTTTGCCGTTGAAATGTGTTGCTTCGATAATTTTTTTTATGTAATTTGAACCTTTTTTGATGAATTTGACTTAAATGAAGTATTATATTGTTTCAGAAGAAAGATTTCTGTACAATTGAATACAGAGTATTATATAAGGAATCAATATTGCACAGGACAAAAATAATGTAATTCTGCTTCAACCAAAGTTTTAAAGTAGTTCTTCCATCGCAAATATGAACAACAGAAGTTTACAAAGTAAACATTCTTTTTTCCTGTCATTAAAATAGTTTATAATTACAATTTTGCAGCAAAAATTTTCGACATCAATGTTGCAGCTCATATTGCTTTAATATATGATCGGAATTCCTTTTGTGGCCAGAATTGTTTTCTTCCAATATCTTTATTTAATTTCTAAGTGTATGTACAAAATACGGAATGTATTGTTTTTCATGTATTCATTGTTTTCTTTGATTAGAATTATTCTTTTTCCCTCATATAAATGCACGATAATTGTTCATTCATTCAAGATCAGCGATAAATTTTTAGAGGTTAATTCATATTAAATCCTGTTCTTATAAATACCACAAAAAGTCATTGAGGGTAAGATGAAATATCTTACTATCAACATAGTGACAGGAACAGAACTATAAACACACAAACTCTCATATGGTACTGCCCTTGTATAAAAAGAAATCTAGAGTAGAAACAAAATTATCTTTTTTTTCAATGCTATGAATATAATGAAAATGAAGTCGCTCATATCTGTACACTAATAGAACTAACAGAGTATCATTTACCATCATGTTTTGGTTGTTTCATATGAATGATCCTGAGGACTGTATATACACTGTATATTTAACCCAAATGTTGTTATTGCCACTTTTCTTTATTTTAATAAGCACACATGGATATGCTTTATGAGTGGATATAACATGTTTAAGTTTTGTTGCGTCTTTTTTTTTGGGGGGGGGGGGGGGGGGGGAGTGGTAATTGTGATGATTTTCTTATTGGATAGTCAGGAGACATATATAATATTTCACATTATTATATAGTCTATTTATAGTCCCTATATAATCTATACAAACGCAAACGGTTCATAACACTACATATTCACTGGTTTTGAAGCCAGCTGTGTATCTGAGCAGGAAAAAACATTAGCCAAGCCTATTGCTATTTTCTAAACATTTCGATCTCTTATAAACAGCAAAAGGAAATCACGGGAGTTATAACATGTGATCTGTGGACCTTTTCACAAAAAATCTTACAACATATTTTTATCTTAAGTGAAAACTTATGATAAAAATCGTTTTCACAAAATTTCTTAAGAAAGTCCTAAGTGCAAAATCTGTCGTCACTTTACGAGAGCCCCAACCCACTCTTAAGTATTTTAAAAGTATTTTTTAATAGATTTTATTGTAAAAATATAATCGCAAAAAATAAAATACATTAAACTTTTTAAAGCAACTACCAATAATATTTTAAATTTTTTTTTCACAATCATTGTCGAAAAATTAAATGAAATACACTTCAAAATATTTACGATGTAAGTTTCACTTAAGATTTTCGTATGACCTACTTTTACGTCAGACTTGCGATTGTGACGTCAGATTTTAAACTTCCTTGCTTCACAAACGATTGCATTCGATATTTGTATTCAATAATGTTTGTTTTGCTGACAAATGTTGAAAACTAAGTTTTATTTTTATTTTCACACACTTATTTAAGGATTATAAAGCATATTGAAGTCGTTGCTAGGGATGAAGTCTGTCGTAAGTAAAATCTTAAGTTCAATCTGCTACGAATGCGTT